CCTGCCCCATCGGGCCCTCCTTATCCCTCTTGGCCTCCTACTCCCTGAGATTTTCCCTCTCCCAACGGGATTGGCTGCACTTTTGACTGGGCCGGTTCTTGAACTGGTGGATGTCGCTGAAGGTGGATCAAGGAAAGACTGAGGTGGCAGAGCAAACCACTCTTCTGTCCCCAACACTATCCCTCCTCCCTCCGCCCCTCCTCCTTTCCCCTCCTTGGGAGCTTGCTGCCCGGAGCCGTGTCCAGAACCCAGCCGGCCATCTCCATGGTGCCAATTACCAGCAAGTGTCTTTCCTGCGGCACAGGGTTCAGGCAGCTACTCCTGCCCCTGAGCTGATGGGGCAGCTTTGCAAGGATCCGGAGCCAGCTCCCAGGGGCCCAGGCCCCACCTTGAAGAGGAGCTCAGGCCTTCCTCCGCCTGCCTGTGGAAGGAGCTTTGCCGCAGCCTGTCTGAGTCAATCTGTCCGTCCCCTCCTGCCTGCCCCTCTATGAGGGACTTTGGGAACTGGAAGCCAGCCCAGATCCAGGGAAAGGAGGTGTCTGGGGCCTGGCAGCTACTGCAGTCCCCCAGGGCGCCTTGCTCCATGGGGCTGCCACAGCCAGCTCGGAACAGAAGGCGGGTGGACCGGAGAGAACTTGGGCATCTCAGTCTGGGTGGAAGAGCGATGGGATCCCGCTTGCTCAGAACTCGAGCCCCGAGAGCTCACTGGCTCTGCATTCTCGGGGTACTTGGGTTGAAGGGAAGACCGAGGGAAGCTGGTTGGGAATTGGGAGTCAGGGGTGGGGGTGGGGGATGCCAAGGCGAGGGTTTCCGAAATAGAATCCCCCTTTGTTGGGTGAGGTTCAGGGTCCTCTCAGCTCACCCTCTGCCTCTAGACTGGAGTCCCTGGGCGAGGGGAGGGATGGAGTTCCCTTTTTCAATAAACCATCATGAGGACCCGTGGCCCCAGCCTCCATGGCTGAAGGAAAGATGGTGGGAGAGAGAGAGACCACCAAGAGGTAGGAGTGCAGAGAGCGGGGGCTGGCTCTCCACCAGTCTCTAGGGAGCTGCCTCCCCTGTCTGGCCCTCCCTAAGGCCTGGGGGGGCCCTTTTGCATGCTGGGGAGGATGCGACTGGCCCCTCTTTATAGAAGCACACTCCTGCCACCCCCCTGGGCAGCCCTCAGCAGCCCATCCCCCTGCGCACCCAGTCCCTGCTGTGTAGGGCTTAGTCCAGATTAGCTGGGTAGTTAGTGTCCCAAGCCCGGGGGCGCCCCCTTAACTCACACATAGGCCTCAAGTAGTCCCAGGGCAAGTGGGCAGGGAGGAGACCCTGAAGACATTCCAGGAGATTGTGGCCTCCTTGCTGGCTGGCCCCTTGGGGCCCAGGGGCTGCCTGGCTCTGAGAGACCAGCCCCCTCTTTCTCCCTCTCCCCACTCCCAACCCTTCCGTAGGGTCGTAGCTGGGCTGCCCATTATACTCAACCATTCTGATGTATTCTCTTTGATACTGATTTTATTTATGAAGCATTCCTGGGTTTGGCTGCACCTTGGTAAAAGGCAGAGTTTCCATGGGGACCCCGGACTGTGTTTGGTTCCTACCGAGGGCCATGGACCAGCTGTCTCTTCCACTTGGATCCTGTCGATTCCCCTCGGTCAGGGTCTGGATGCCTCGGAGTTTGGGTTGAGCTTGGAAGCCCCTCAGAGCTTCTCACAGGCAGCCCTGGTTGCAGAGATGGGTGTCCCATGAGCCCTGGAGCTTGAATACCAAGGCTGGGCCTTGAATCTGTTTGGAGGGTGGGACAAGGGGGACAGATCAGTGAAAGGCTGGGCTGGGGGAGCCCTGTGAGGTTCCAGGAGAGAGATTTGCCCCTGTGGCCCAGGGCTGCCTCATCCCCACTTTGTAAACCAGTGTGACTTCTCTGCTGTTTGTGTATTACTCACCGTTTAGAATACGTGAGCCAGGAGCACCCCTCTCGCTCTGGCCCAGGCTACTCTACTTGTTAGGGGCAGTCTGTCAGAGATGGCCAGAGCTGGGGTGTCCCTACTGGGGGAGAGGGCTTGCCACTGACTTGGCCCCTGTTCCAGCTTCCCCCACCCCACCCCCACCTCATGTCCACATCGCCTTTACAGAGAGAGAGAGAGAGAGAGCGCTAAAGCAATAACAACCCTTGGGGGTCTCCAGGGTCCCCTCAGTGGTTTTCTTGTTTGTTCTGTGCTATCTCCGTCCACCTCCGGGAGTCGGGGGCTGGAGTGGGGGCTGCAGCCCCATTTCTTTGTGTCATCGTTGTGAGCACGTGCCCCGTGGAAGGAGCTCTGCCCATGGGGTATGGGAACCACTGTCTGCTCTCCCCAAGGGAGGAGTCTCCGGGGCCAGGCAGCAACTCTTTATTATTAGCCTTGGGGATGCTTCAAACCTTTCCTGTCCCTTCTGTTGCCCACACGCCACCATGGAGGAAGAGCAGAGTATGAGGCAGCAGGGAGGGCCGGGGGTCTCTACGGGGCGGGGCAGGTGGTTTTCAGGCTCAGGAGGAGATCACAGGCAAGGGGCCCTCAGGAGGGAGCCATCTCTACTTTCAGTTCCCAGGAATTTCTTAATCCTAAAGCAGAAGGGCTTTGGGGACCATTTAGTGACCCACTTTCATTCTGCAGGGAGGCAGGGGCCCAGTGCCTGGGTGCCCTCCAGGGTCACCTGTGAGCTCAGTGTCACCCTCACCTGGGTGACACCTTGGTTTCTTCCCAATGGCAGCCTGGCTGCACTTCCTCTACTTTTCCGAGCCTCCTAGTGGCCAAAGATGGGCAGGACAACGTGGAGCAATCTGAGAACTTGGCCTGGAACCAGGAAGTGACCTGTCCAGGAGCCATTGGCCAGTTAGGGCCGCCTCTGGCCTCTGCTGCCTTGTATAGCCCCTCTTTCCTGGAGACAAGTCTTTCTTTCAGGTGGCCACACCAGACCAGTGAGCGCTGGCCGCACCACCGATGTGGTTCCATCCCTTTCTGGCCTGGCTTTCAGGGAGAGGGTTGCCAGAAAGACAGCTCACCTGGGAGTCTCATCTCACTGCCTGAGGGAACACAGGGGCTGGTCTAGGCCTTGCTGTCCAGGTTGAGGGGTTGGGGTAGGGGTTTCCTGCAGATGGACCATAGCCCCTCCAGAGCCAATAGTGTTCACCAGGCTTCGAGGGAGCAGGGTGGCTGGGGAACCTCTCATCTGAAGGAAATCCTAGCAGAAGCCTTCAGAGGCAGGAAGGAAGGCCTGGCCTTCCTAAAGTGCTTCCCAGAGGTTTTCAACGCGCTTCTACCATCAGTGGACCCTTTTGACATCCCCACCCACCCCCAAGGGCCCCTGGGCTGCAGGAGAGACCAGCGATACCACCTCATGGTGGAGTCCGCAGGAGTGACTAGGCTCTTTCATTGGGGTGGACAGTTTGTAGGCGGGTGCTGTGGAAGCCATCCTGACTCACAGGGACCCCAGGGGACTGCGTAGATCAGGCCCAGGAGTGTTTTCTCGGCTCTCACTTGGATGGGAGCGGGTGGCCGCTGGGTGAGCCCCAGCTCCTGGCCTTTCTGTAACAACCGAGCAAGCACTTAGCTGTTGCTCCACCAGGGCTCTTAAGGGGGATAGTGTAGGGCAGCGGTTCTCAACCCCTTTGGGAATCGAACGACCCTTTCCCAGGGGTCACATTCATAACAGTAGTAAAATGACAGGAAGTAGCAACGAAAAGAATTTCATTGTTGGGGGGTCACCAGAACATGAGGAACTGTATGAGAGGGTCATGGCATGAGGAAGGTTGAGAACCACTGGTGTAGGGTTGGTCACGTCACAAATGGATTCACTCAGTTCCTTTGCCCTGGGCACTCCTGGGCCCATTCCAGTGTTCCCAAACACCAGAGGCCCGTGCCTGGTGGAGGCACAGCTGCTGCGTCGGGCAAAATCACCTGCATTTATTTATTGAGCAGCAGCTCTGGGTCAGGCCCAGGAGATCCAGCCCGCTGCCCTGTCTGGAGTGGCTCCTCTGAGAAGGCCGAGTCTACAGAGCAGTACCTCGGGGTGTGGGAACGCATCTGAGGCAGGCTGACAGTGCCGCCCCTGTTGTACTCATCGTTTCTGTGAAGGGAAGCGGGGAGTTGAGCCCAGGGCCTTAGGCATCACATCTGGCACCATTTCAGGAAGACTGCCTCCTGGGGTGGGCCGGAGGGCGGGCCAGTGTGGTTCCCTCTCCAGCTCTCCAGCCTTCCACGTTCCCCTCATTCCCTCTCTGGGAGCAGGGGAGCCTGGTCCTTTGGGGAGGGAGGGTTTCTGGGCCCCAGGGTGGGAATGGGGCACGTACCATTATGTTCATGATCACGTAGCTCATGTTGATAATTAAAGTTTTTGGCTTTTCTAACCGGGTTTGCCCTGGCTTTGTGTTGACCTGGCTTTACAAGGGACGCCAGGGGCAGCTGGTGCTTCAGGGATGGAGTGCTAGAACGCCAGGGGCTGGTCTGAGCCCTGGTGGCACAGAGGTTCCCCATGGGAACCAAAGTGGGCCTATGCTTGCTTGTGGCCAGCACCAATGTCCCCAAGCGCAGGGCCGCGCCTCCCCCCCTCCCCCCCAGCGCCAGCCCACCCTGCCTGGGAACGCCCGAGAGCCGAGGGCCCTCCCTGGCCTGAAGGTCCGAATTCCGGAATACCAGCTGCTCCGAGCGCAGAGGGATGAGGCTTTCTACTCCTATCAAGAGTTAGTCATGGAAACTCACAGAGGCAGTTCTCTGTCCCGTGGGGTCATGAGTCGGAGTGGACTCGGTGGCAGTGAGTGAGCCTGGGTTTTGTCCTTGGGGGGCAGAGCTGTGTCAGGGAGCAAGCCTCTGGATGAACCCACAGACCCTTTCATTACACAGACATGGGCACTGTGGCCTCAGGGGACTTGGGCTGATTAGCATTGTGAATAGACTCCCGATCTCACAGCTGTCAATAGAAGGCTTGTCCCACAAACTTAGGCTGTGCCCAGCGGGCATCGGTCCCCTGAAGGTGGGCGTCAGCAAGACACCCCATCTCCTCACCCCCAGTCGGGCTGAGATCAACTTTCAAGCGGTGGGGGCGGGGCCGGGTTGTACACGGGCGATTCCACATTACGGTGACATGCAAGGGGACCTTTTCAACAGTGGGGAGACTCGCCCACCTGGACTGTAGTTGGTCCCCTGCCATCTCTGGTCCCTGGGCTGCGCAGCGTGAGCAGCTGGCCTCATTGAGAGGACTCCTGTTGTGTAAAGTACATTTCCCCTGCAACGTGGAAACCAGCAATCCTCCCACAACAAAACAACATCTGCTTCCGGGAAGGGCCAGCGCCGGCGCTGCGTGGAGGACTCCTGTTGTGTAAAGTTGTACATTTCCCCTGCGACGTGGAAACCAGCAATCCTCCCACAACAAAACAACATCTGCTTCCGGGGAGGGCCAGCGCCGGCGCTGCGTGGGGGCGGCCTCTCAATGCAGCTCATACGCAATCACCAGCCCCCACTCCGCATCGGGACTACTGGGACTGGCACCTACAGGGTGACTTTCCAATCCTGTGTGTGCTGATGATGCGACTTTAATAGCTTTTTGGAGAGGAGGAAGGGGCCCACCACAGAAGGGAGTGAGAACCTGCTTCCGTGGCAGAAGCCAGCCTGGCGGCCGTGGCCTCACGCTCCCCCACCAAGCTGAGAGGGGCGCCCAGACTTCCCTTTCTGGGTTGGAACCCCACCATCAGATAGACTTCCGCCTGACTAGGGGCCTGCCTACCCTGCCGCCCACGGCGCCGGGGCTCGAGGGAGGTGAGAAGCCCAGGTTGTCGCGGGCCCACATCTCCAGCTGGTGGATGCGACATGAGATGGAGGTGGGGACCCCGGGGCGGGCTGGGCGGCGGGCCAGGGAGGGGCCATGGCTCCTGGGCGTCCCCAGGCGGGGTGCGCTGGCGCTGCTAGGGGCTGCGCGCTCGGGGCCGTCGGTGCTGGCCGCGAGGAAGCGCAGGACCACGAGGTTGAGGAAGGCGCCGATGACCGTGAGCCCCAGGAGGATGTAGAGGAAGCTGAAGACAACGTAGGGCGGCTTCTTCTGCAGCGCCTCGTTGCTCTGCAGCGCCACGAAGTCGCCGAAGCCGATGGTGGTGAGCGTGATGAAGCAGTAGTAGTAGGCGTGGAAGAAAGTCCAGCCCTCGAAGTGCGCAAAGGTGGCGGCCCCGAGGGCCAGCGTGGCCGCGCACACCAGCAGCCCGGCCACCACCATGTTTTCAGTGGACACGCGCGGCCGCCGCAGGCCCAGGCAGCGCTTGGCGGCCAGCAGAAGACGCCGCACCAGCGCGTTCAGCCGCTCGCCCAGGCTCTGGAAGGTGACCAGCGTCAGCGGGATGCCCAGCAGCGCATAGAACATGCAGAAGACCTTGCCTGAGTCGGTGCCCGGCGCGGCGTGGCCATAACCTGTGCAGAAAGGGCGGAGGTGGGATGGGGTGGGAGAGGGAAGGTTGGCGAGAACCCAGTTCCATCCACCAAGTCTCCCTCTCCCTCCGGCAGAGCCCTGGAGGCAGGCGCCCAATCCAGCTCTAGCAAGGCCATCCCCTACCTGGCTTGAAAACCACCCCACCCCAAACAACTAGGGGAAGAATAAGCAACCGGTGGCATATGCCAGCCAAAGGATGGGGTCCAAAGGGCATTAGACGCAGTGAAGGGAGCCCGCTCACAAGCCTACTTTCCACACTCCCTGGCTCCCTTTGGCTGGTCTTCAGGAAGGGGCAATACAAAACAGGTCTGTGCGTGCCAGTTCTTGGGGTTGGCCCTACCAGGGGCCAGAATTTGGGCAAGGGTGGAAACGTTCGCAGTCTGGATGGAGGAGTTGCTCACCCAAAAGTAATGGGAGGAGGACATGTGTTAAAACTGGCACAGGCCCACCCGGATAAGGAAGAGCTAGGTTTTAACTAGGAGCCCTGGTGTTGGAGTGGTGACAAGGTCAGCAGTCAGAAACCACCAGCTGCTCCTTGGGAGACAAATGAGGCTCTCTACTCCTGTAAAGAGTTACAGTCTCAGAAACTCACAGAGGCAGTCCCACCTTGTCCTATAGGGTCACTATGAGTTGGCATCGAGTTTGCTTTGGGTTTTGGATTTTAAGTATATCTGGAGTCCTGGGTGGTGCACCTGGTTCGTGCCTGTACTGCTAGCTGAGAGGCTGGCAGGTTCAAGTCCACGTTGAGGCACTTTAGAAGAAAGACCTGTCCATCGAATTCTCCAAAATCAGACTTGAAAATTCCATCGAGCACAGTTAGCCTCTGACATACAGAGTCTCTATAAGAATCCACTTGATGTCAGCTCCCTATCCCCCCCCCCCCCCCCCCAGGGCCACTCCCAGCCATGCAGAGCTCAAACTCTGGGATCCTGGCCCCTGGTTCTGGGCAAGGCAGCTTCAGTCCGCTGAGACGATAGAGTAAGAACAGGCTCCCTCAGGTGGCCAGAAAAGGCACAACTCTTGCATCCACTCTTCCTCCCTTTCCCATGGCTCCCAGAAGCAGGTCCCAAGGGAACAGCCAGGAGAGAAGGCCAAAGGAAGCATAAGCAGTCTCCACAGAATGTAGGGCATGCCAGATGGGTGGGCGGGGTCTTACACCCCTGGGTACAGCCACAGGGAGGATCTCAGGCTTGAGGGAGCAGACGAGTTCTGCTGAGCCAAGATAGGGAAGCAGGGGTGCTCCCATGGAAGTCAGATGGAGGGGAGAATTGCATAGGAACTGGGGCCCCAAATGGCAAATAATGAATCCTCATTAGTATTAGTTAATCATAATAGTGCCTGTTCAGCCTGGGCCACTGTGCCCAACCTTTTCCATGCAGGACCCCTTTAAACCTGGCAACCCCCATTGAGGTAGGCATTTTAAAGCACGCTCAGTGAGGTGCCCTCAGGGACCTGGGGAGGGAGGGAGGGAGGAAGGAGGGGACAGAAGGGAGGACAGAAGTCAAGTCTCTATAATGACTGAACGTGAACTTCAGGCTCCACCACTAAACCCGAAGTTCACAGCCACTCCAAGAAACTTTCTTTAAGGCACCAGCCCCTGGGGGAGGAGACACTGACCAAGGCCCACCCTGTGCACCTGGGCATCAGTATCCAGGGCCCAGGGAAAAACTGGCACCCAGGTTGGCAGCCTTCCTGCCTCCCAGGCTTAGGTTCCCAGTACCAGCCAGACATAGTTACGGCAACGGTGGTGGTCCAGATGCGGCAGAGGAATGCCTGGCTTCCAGAAGGTGAGGTCCAGAGTGGGTGAGAGCCAGTCGTTGCCCCAGCCAATATACATGAAGTGTCAACTGTGCACTGGGCATGGGCCCTGCAGCAGCGGTTGAGGCGGGCTGCTTGCACGGAGTTGACAGCAATAATGATTCCATTGATTTTCAGGAAAGGCTTTCTACGTGTCAAACCCAAACCAAACTCACTGCCCTGAACGGCTTCCGACTCAGTGGCCGGCCGGTGCTAAACCTCACGC